TCTGGACGCCAGTGTTGTTTAGACCCTAAGTTTATAGGGATAGTCTAACTCTCTGGAGGGTGTGGGATACGCTTAAATAACCTGTGTGCCTTGGGTCACCGTGGGATTAAGCCATCATGGCAGATACCCACGCTAAACCCTTAACATAATATACTCTAAACTTTGTGTATTATTAATTAGCATCAAATTCGAACTCGATCTGTTAGCTGGATGTCTTAAAAAATCTCTCTTTGCCGTAAAAATAACGTTATCGTCTACGAATTCGACAAAACCATTGGAAGGTATTGCATGCAAATTAATATTAAAAGTGGCCTAAATCGATCGGTACAACAAAAGAACAAATTATTAATTTTTTTTTTTTTTTCGCTTTTGCCCATTAAATTTGCTCTAACTGTACAATAAAAATAAATATTTATAAATTCTAATTTTAAAATGAAGATGACTGGCACAGAAAATTCGCCTAAAGCCAAATATGATTTTCTTACATTGGACTTTACTTACTTTTGCTTTTATTGATATGTTATTTTATATGAAATTTATTTACATCATTTTGTATAAAATTTTCGAGTAGCAGAGACATTTCAGCACCTGACCTCCAAACCTATATGTTATATACGTTGTAGGTAAATTTTGAGTTTGCAATATGAACACCTTTCCTTTTCACATTTTTTTTTTTTTTTTGCTTGCTGTTCTCACTGCACGACGGCTTATTTCGCTGAAATCGATTCTTATAAGTTTGCGCAGATAAAACAAAATACGAGGTGTGTTCAAATAAAATGATGACTTTTTATTTTTCTTGAAAAATATTTAATTATACATTGATTATTATTTTGTCCCATTCAAGGTATATAACATACTTGTGCCCGCGCTTTTTTCGATCCTTTTCTGATATGCGTTTTTTTTGGCACAGCCTGGAGCTTCACCAGTGATGCGTTCGCTATCATCTCCATCGTTTCAGAGGTATTCTCGGTTTCAGAATTAGGAAAAGGTCGCAGGAAGCCAAGTCCTGCGAATACGATGAGACCATGAGACATAATTACGGTATTGTTAAGTGAAAATTTAACAGTTTCAGAACAACGTTTTATGCCTAAAATATCACAAAAAAATTGCAGGACATGCCGCTATCCTCAACTAGTTGTCCAATAGTGATTCGATGATGCTCCGTTCATCATGTTCATCCATCGTCACTAATATCTTCTCGGCTTTTCGTGAAGACCACTTGTGCCACTTATGAACATTTCTTTTTTTTCGCCCAAAGTAAGCTCATCAAAGCCCACAATCAAGATTTTAAGTGATTTATGACACTTGATTTAATTTCTCGGATAAAATTTAATGCAGATTCTTGA